ATACTGCATTTGTTTGCCAGGTATCGGGAGATTCGGCCTTTGTTCTTGGCAGCTGCTCGGCCAATGAAGGTGGAGTGGAAAATGAGTCCATATTTTGGTGTGTTACCCCTTGTCTTCAGGGCTCTGAGAGAATATTCAGCAGAGAGTTTAAAATCAGAAATGTCAACCCCATTAGCCAAGGTAACTCACCCAGTTCCCCAAATCCCCAGAATGAGTCTCAGGACAGGCTGGGTCTTTACCCCAATACATGCCATGCCAACCCATAGCTCCCAGAGGCAGAGGAAGGCATCCAATGTCGCTGACCTGGAAACTTGGTCCCTTTGCTGGGCCCTAGGAATCACTCAGACACCAGGACTGGCCATCACCCCCATAGCACAGGGCTGTATAGGTCAGGGAGCCCTGGGCAGCCATCACTGTGATCCCCAAACAAGCAGCGGGCACCAGAAGTGGCACCTGAGTATGAGCAGGTGCCTCACTGGTACCTGAACAGGGCCTTTTCAGCCCCAAGGATCTGCACTGTGGATGCTGGATACTTGGCCAGGTTGGTGAGGCTGCCAGCATGAGCGATGAGACGTGCACCTACCTAGAGAAAGTCAAGGAAGGAGTCAGAAGCTCTAACTGCTGACCTGCCAGCTGCATGATCCCTATTCACCTCTTCCCCATCAAGCACAATGGAAAGATACTGTGGGTCAGGAAACACAGCAGTGCAGATACACATGTAATACCCCCATTCCCATGACACACCGCTTCTCCAATTAAGGCTGACAGGCTGGGGGCTACTTGGCTCATCTTGGAGCGTAGGTAAGTGTGGAGGCTCTGGCGGTACTCTGACAAAGACACCACGCGGCTGGAGAAGCTCTCAATGTTTATCAAGTCAATGGCAGATATGTCCATACCTAGGAAACATCAAGAGTTTGAGTACAACAGTCAGCCGTTTAGGGCCCTACTCCTTATGTAGGCTGCCAGGCTCTGTACTGACCCATGGAGGACCGTGAGGCATCTAGAATAGCCTTAGCTTTGGCTCCATCCATCGTTAATTCCTCCAGCTTCTCCAGCTTTTCCTCATTCAGCTCCCTTCGGTTTCCAATAAACTGGGCAACACGGCAATACGTGGCATTGTCATTGATGATCTTCACCAGTTCCGGAAAGTGATACCCATACCACTCCCTGCAAAGAACCATAGTCACTCCCAGCCCAGCTGCTTCATCTTAAACAACAAAGCCATAGCCTCAGCTCTCTCCATACTTATTCTCTGCCTGGAGGAAACACAATACATTAGATTCAAATCCATCTCAACTCCATGTTCCCCCATTCACAATACAGACCAGGCATGGGGCCTGGGCTGGGGTGTACACAGGGTAGATTTATTCTGCCTCCTTTTTCTATACAGTCAGTGTAAGAACACAGCCTGTGGTAAGCACCAGGAGGTCCAGCTTCAGCCCACATAGTTCTACCCACAGGAGTTGTCAGTCCTGATCAAGATTCTAAATTAGCTCAATTACAGGATAAAGACTCCACTGATAGGAACAGCCCATGCACTTACCTGACACGCATAGAGAAGGTATTGATGTCTTTATCCAGCTGATCCAGGAGACTAATGGACTGGATGATCATATTGTCCACCCGGTTCACATTAAACTTAACTTTGGCACGAGAATAGCTGTGTCCCAGCCCTAGTTGGGCTTTGCAAGCTGACAGATCAGTCAGACCCTTCACCAGATTATGGAAGTGCAGACGAACTCCTAAGAGGAGGGTAGGACTATAAGCAAGGGCTCTGAGCAAGCTCCTGCACTCAGGAGCACCAGCAAGTAGGCGGCCTTTCCAGATGCAAGCATAGCACCCTAGCAGATTTCCAGCAACACCCCCCCCCCACCGGAAAAGGTAAGGAATGGCAGAAGCATAACATATGATGGTCTCACCTCGCAGGATCTCAGCTATCACGCCTCCAGTCTGGCAGTTGTACCCTAACTCCTCTTGTATTGCAGCACCGATCTTGGGATCCCCAACCCCCAAGAGTACTTTCTTCTTTTTGGATGGCAGATGGGTCTCCAAGAGCAGACGCAGGTCCTCATGAACAACACCTCAGGGCACAAAGAACACAGCTCCCACTAACATGCTCAAGGATGCAAGAGGTATCACCCCTCAGCTGACTATGCTGGTCTGGTGGCGCATGATGGAATGGCATGCCTAGATCCCTCCCCTTCAGGCATTGCTCAGAGACACAGAGACATCAGTGACTGCACTCAGGGGATTGACAGATAAGAAAAGTCATCACTGCAAAGCCTGGCCCAACTGGGGAGGTGCTGCCTTCAGGTCCAACACCACATATGAAACGTAACTGAAGCTATAACACACCCTTAGACATTTATTACCCAATTTGACTTCTGGGAACAAACCATTCTTCTGGTTTACGTTTATCTAAACTGCCCTTTTCAATGAATTGAAAGATACAGCACAGAATCAGGCATTTCATTGGGTTTAGGAAAACTTAGGCACAGGTGGGTATTAAAATAGCCCCCTCTATTTCAATAAGAATCATTTGTCACTATAGTACCCAAAAGAAATATCTGCTTCCTGGATTGTGTGCTTTAAATGTGAAACAATTGGTCTGTTACAGTTTCCAGATCTTGAGCTCTGTGAAGACAATTTTTTTTTTTTTTAAGAGCAGTCTCACTTTGTTGCCCTCAGTACAATGCTGTGTGTCATAGCTCACAGAAATTCTTGGGCTCAAGCTATCCTCTTGCTTCAGCCTCCCCAGTAGCTGGGACTACTGGCACCCACCACAAAGTCCAGTTATTTTTTAGAGAGGGGGGTCTTGGTCTTGTTCAGGCTGGTCTCCAACTCATGAGCTCAAGCAATCCTCCTGCCCTGGCTTCCCAGAGTGCCAGGATTAGAGGTGTTAGCCACCAATGCCAGGCCTGAAGGCCATTATTTTAAATTACATCCTGTCCATTTCTAACACTGCCTAGCGCTTACCAGATTTACAGCTAGCGGAAAAAAGGTTAAGTACCATCACAAATCTCCTAGGAAGGTAACGTAAGCAACTACACGTATCTTATCCCTCAGGAATACTTAGCGACTTACCCTCAGACACTGCATTGGCATTTTCCAAGGCAACCTGAGATGAGGCAAAGGGACAAAAGGCCACTAGACGAACGATGTTGTGGAATTTGCCCAGGTTGAGCACGGACTCCTCCACCTGTAGGATGGGGGGCGAAAGAGATGAGTGGTTTCCTTGCTCTTGCCTCTGCAACGCAGTGAAGCAAAGGTTCTCAGCCCTGGACGATATTAAATTGTACCAGCGCTTAGGCCCCATATCCTGGCTTCTGCTCTAGTCGATAGAGGGGAGCCCGGGAGGCTTACTTCTCATTGATCCTACAGCGATTCTGACCATGATTCAAGGTAAAGCCCCCTGCGCTCTAGAGCTTTCCAGGCCCAGCCCCCCCCCTTCCCCGGCAAGAGCGGCCGGCCACGTGGGAGCGCGTGGTGCATGCTGGGACCCGTGCGGGCCGAGGGTCTGCGGCGCCCGCCAAGCCCACTGAGTTTACCCACCTGCGGCAGCAGCAGACTGATCTCCTCCACCTCCTTCAGTGCCAGCAGCGCGTAGCCGACGGCGTGCTCGAACAGCACGTGCAACAGTACCTGGAATGGAGCCGGGGCGCAAGCGTCAACGCAGCTTCAGCATGCGCCCAGCTCCGCTTCCGAAGCAGGCCCAGGGCCAGGCCCAAGGCCAGGACCAAATCCAGGCCCACACCACCACCTCCGCTTCGCCCGCGACCCGCAACCACTCCTCACCATGGCGCCCCCTCCTTGCTCCGCTCGCACTGCGGCTAACAAGCTCTGGCGCGCGGATCCAGGCTCCAGAGGCCACGCCCATTCTCATTCACCAATCAGACGCCGAGGACGGCACCATTCTCGGGTTTTTGCCGGGGCCCGCCGGAATGGTATCGCCCGGAGAGCGGGCGGGGGAGGTGCGGAGCGCGGGCGGGCTGTTCTCTTCCGGCTTCTGCAGCTGCGCGGGCGGGCGCGGTTGCCTGGGACGCGCGGGAGCGCGTCTGGCCTTGCTGGCCACAAGAAGGTTTGGGAAGGTCCTTTTCCAGATGATAGTCAGATCCCTCATGTTTTCGTCTTATAGATTGCAGGCAGCAGAGCTCAGTGAATCAGGGCGGGAGGCTGTGTGTGGGGCGCGGCGACCATCCCAGACCGTTGCGGAGCCGGCTCCCCGCAGCGCTGGCGGCCCCGGGTCCCAGACCCCTCCCTGCGCCCCAAGCCCCCAGGACTCTTTATTTTCCCCTCCCACTCGGTGATGACACCTCCAGATCACAGTAGATCGCGCTCCCCTTCCTCCTTCCCGGTATAGGAGCGGGGCCTGGGGCGTTCTGGCGCAGATTGCTGGAAACATGGCCCTCGCGACTGTCATTCCTGTTGAATGTTGTTTATTGTTTTTAAAATAACGTGGCAGGCAGTAACGTGGGAAAGAAAAAACGATCCCAGGTCTTTCTTGGTCTGTGTCTTGTTCCTGGGCTTAACGAGACCCATCTCCTTTTTCGGGGCAACGTGTTGCTTATCCGTTTTATGGCCCTAAGTCAGTGGTTCTCAACCTTCCTAATGCCGCGATATATTTTCATTGTTACAAAGGGGTCGCGACCCATAGGTCGAGTGAATTGTCGCTGCTTCCTTTGTCCTCCAAGGGTAGCTTTTGGGCACTCAGGCGACTATTTCGGAATTATTTTTGCCTTATTGATTAATATTAGAGTTATAAATCCAAAACTTGTTTATCCTTAAGTAGTATATACCCTAATAAATGAAAATCTAGGAATTTTTGTAACTTACAATTATACACCACATTTATAAACTTAATGTTATTTACTTAAACGACTCAGTTACTTGACGAATAAAATCCAAGTACCTAGTTCACTCTTATAAATCCGGTATATTAAACCTAAAACATGGTTGGTTAATCTCATTATTGCCTACAGATGTGGTTAAATTCTCCTACACACGTGGACTTAAAATTATGAATCACATGATTCAGATTTTAAACTGGAATTGCAAAATTAACTCATTACATATCGGTGCATTAAATTCTCTTTAATACTTAAAATACCAAATTAAACATGATTCCAAAGTATAATGGAAAATATAAATGCAATGACAACAATTTTGTTCATAATTTCTCTATCCTAAATCTTCCTGGGCTTACTAAAGTAGGGGTTTTCAAATGAGAAGTCAGAATCCTTTAATGGGTTGCAGAATTCAGTCATTCATAATCAACATTAAAAAGTAGGGTTGAAGAAAATAGGAAAGAAATAAGTATGCCATGTTGTAGAGGGTCAGGTGCAGTGGGTCAGGTGCAGTGGCTCAGGCCTGTTGGGGCGGCCATGTTAGGAAGATGGCTTGAGGCCAGGAAGTAGCATGAGCAAGAGCAAGACCCTGTCTCTACAAAAAATAGAGAAAATAGCTATGCATGATGTGGCACACCTCTGATCCCAGCTACTAGGAAGGATGAGACTTGAGCCCAGGAGTTTGAGGCTGCAGCGAGCTATGATGGCAGCACTGTACTTTAGCCTAAGTCAGTGGTTCTCAACCTTAGTAATGCCGTGACCCTTTAATACAGTCGCGACTCACAGGTTGAGAACCACTGGCCTAAGTGATAGAGTGAGACCCTGTCTAAAAAAAGAAAAAGTATATCACATACAGTAAGAGATTTCTAAAACTTGTCTCAACTACATACATTTATATACATAGATATATTTGTACATAGGGAAATATATATTGTTCACATATGTAAACCAAACACGTTTCTGTGTATTAGATCAGGATATAAAAAATCAAAGTCACCCAAAGAGCCAAATGATAACCACAGTCATCATTTGGATAGACTTGACTCCTCTGGCTACAAAGGAGCTGTAATGAAGTTGTTTGATGAATTAAAGAGATAGCTGAAGAAAAATACTTCAACGAGTGAGATACCAATGCTTGTGATGAGATAGGACTTTGGTGTAAATACTGTAAGTAGGCTGGATGCAGTGGCTCATGCCTGTAATCCTAACACTCTGGGAGGTTGAGGCAGGTGGATTGCTTGAGCTCAGGAATTTGAGGATGCTGTTGAGCTATGGATGACACCACAGTAACTCTACCCAGGATGACCAAGTGGGCCTGTCTCAAAAAAAAACAAAAAAAAACAAAACAAAAAAACCCACCAAAAGCATTCCTTGGCTTTCCTCACTGCCATCCTTTCCATGAAGTATCTGCCCCTGATACTTGTAATCCCGACCCCAGAAAGCATCTCTGCAACACGTGTTATAGAGCATCTATTCCTCCCCTTTGGGCTTTTTTCTGGGTTCGTTGCTCCTGTCTTGGTTCATGTCTTCCCTACCAAGGTAAACTTTTAGAGAAACTTTGGTTTCTCCTTTAAGCCATCTCCCTCTCTGGCAGAATATCCAATCATGTATTTGTGGGTGCTCACAGTGACATGCAGAGATGGGAAGGTTATGGGCCTTGGTATCCCAGGATCACCTGTGGTAGCTATTCTCCAACATTGGTTACCAGTGGTCCGTGTCTCCTGGTTTCAGGTCCTGTGTCCTACATTGACCTGAGCTGGGTCTGTGACTTGTTATAGCCGATGGTATGGTAGAAGTGATTCTGTGCTAGTTCCAGGCTTCAGCCTTTTACATTTGGGGAGACCTTGAGTTGCCTTTTAAGAAGTCCACCTATTCTGCTGGAGAGACCATATAGAAAGGGAGGGGCCTGAGAGACTACATGAAGAGAGACAAAGAAAGAGGAATAAAGGTCCAGCCTTCCAGGCATCCCTGCCAAGATAATGGGCATACCAGTGAAGCCTTTCTGTGTTTTCCAGCCCCTGCTACCATCTTAATGTGGCCACATGGGAGACCCCAAACAAAACCAGAAGAACTACCACCTGTGCCCTATCTATCCTTATTATGAAAAATAAGGTATTGTGGATTGAAGCTACTAAATTTAGGTGTGATTTTTTTTTAATTGAATGGTAACTGTGTACATTAATGCACTTCTGGGGTACAGTGTGGTGTTTTCACACACAATCTGAAACACTTCCATCAAACTGGTTAACATAGCTTTCATGTCATTTTCTTAGTTATTGTGTTAAAACGTTCATATTCTACTCATAGAAAGATTCACTTGTACCCTTGTAAGATAAACCACAGAAGTGAACCCTCCAATCCCCCTCCTGCCACCCATTCTCCCCTCCCCTCTCCCTCCCTCCTCCCCATATTCTTAGGTTGTTATTAGGTTATAGCTTTCATATAAAAGGTTTAAATTAATTTCATAATAGGGGTGTGTACATTGGATACTTTTTCTTCCATTC